AGCTCGTGTCCCGCCACTTGCGCCTCGTACGTGGCCACGTCGTCCACATATTATTATCGCGCCGATTCGTTCCCGGCTCGTCCCGATTCGCTCATCGTTCCTCTAGACCTTCGATGTTGCTGCCCTTTGGCCCTGCAAACAACACAATCTTTAGCTCATCGTTTCACGACTTTGACAAATGTATACTTTAACGAAGATGAGAATGAGAGTAACTGATGCTGATACTGATAACCGGTGTATTTAGATACGAATCGGATTTGGAATTAGTTCTTGGTCGGAGATTTAAAGCAGAATTTCTACGCAGTGATTCGCTCGTTAATTGACTCACAAGTTCTCGAGCTACCCGTTTTATATAATAGGCTAACATCGTAACTCTTTAGATAGCCTAAACTGTTTCAGACCACCAAGTAGTTTCTGCGAGCTCTATCCCTTCGTGCTTTGCGAATTACCCTCCAAAAATACCTCCTCTCGTCTAACAATGTTATAGAGCGTTAGTTACCGCGTTATGGAAACGATGTTTGATGTCCTTCCAGGTTGGTTCAAGTTTTCGAGCGTCGAGCATTGTGTAGTTAGGCGAAGAGTAGTTGACGTAGAAACACAGAGGACTTCGATAGAAACATGGAACTCTGTGCAACGGTAACCAAATGTATCCCAATTGGTTCCCGGTTAACTTTCAGTCAAAATACTTCTTCCTTCTGTTCCGAAACAGGTAGCTCGCAACACCGGCCAAGATTCTCGTCGACTTTAATGGCGGGTTAAGAGCTTAGTCGCGTGCTACGCGATAATCAGATATTTTTTCTGATCCTATATTTTTATTTCACTTAGACCTTATCTCGATCGTACATTACCCCCTTCGAAGCTCGAACAAAAACGATTCGTAATTCGTTCGTAGTTCCGTGCAAACGTCGATAGAGCCGATCAAATTTATACGTGACGAAAAGAAAACGTTATCGACGGAATGCAAATGTCCTGTTACGTGATATTAACGATTTAGCTCGCTTTCACTTTTATTCGCATTCGAGTTCTTTGTTTCTTCTCTGATAACCCGTGGCCAAGTAAACGGGCACGCGGCCGTTAGCCAAGAAAAGAAATATTCCAAGAAAATGTTAATGACTGATAGGTCGATAAGAGCTGGCGTTATTCACGCACGCGAAACTTTTTCATGCGTAATTTTGTTACGTACGAATGTTCCTCGGAATAGATTAGATTCGAGATTAGTCGATAACATTTCTTTATTCTTTCAGTCTGTAAAATGTACGGAAGTATTTGGAAGCATTGTTTATACATTTTCGTTAACGACCCTTGTCGGGTCATTTGATCATTTCCGTAAAACTTACTGTTTCGCGATGGGATAAAAGATTCGCTAAGTAGAACAAGTCGATCGTTGCGCGAGACGAACTAGACGCATGTAGAATAGATTTACTAGCCGGGTAAATACACGTTGAGGGTGGACACTTGAGCAAGTAGAATCGTATGGCTCTTGAATAGACAAATAGTGGCGAGACTGTACTTGACACGGAAAGTAGAACGAGAACGTTTCCTAGCGCACGCGTACATTGACATTGCACGTAAATGGGCAAGTAGAATATGACCGCCCATCGTTAGGCAAATAGAGTCGGACTGCACTTGATTCCAGCGGCTATAACTGGACTATTTATGGATCTGAATACGAGTTCAAATAGTGGCCGTATTGTTGTACCCGTAACGTTGCCGGCTGAAGCCGTATACGATTCGTCTTCCGCGATTCGTTTCGCTTTATCGCATTAATACTCCATGAAACGTTACGTTTTCAAAGAAATCAGTAACGTTGACAATTTTTTCTGTCAAGCTTTTGAATCATATTTTCAGTGTATTTTTTCGCTGTGGAAATTTTTTATCTCGATATTCTGTATATCAAACACGAATTTTCACCCTTTCGGTTCTTCTGTCCCGTTGCAAACGTGATCCTCAAGATCAGCCGGTCGTAATTTAACGTCCGTGGTAAATCTTCGAGGCTCGGATGCTGTCGCACACACGGTCGCGTCACCTCGCTCGAGAAAATATGGTCGCATCGGTTGGACAGGGTATCGGGACATCGGTTCAAAGAAGAACAGCGAAAGCAGCCGCACGTGACAACGCGTGTTCGAGGATCAACCAAAAAGTCGTAATTCTCCGCTTTTGTCTTATTGAGAATTATCATTAACCGAACTCAGTGAAAAGCGAACTGTGTTAGGTCACCTTTAATCGATACTCGGAAGATTAAACCGCGATTGTAACACGATTTTAAAAGTTTCGAATCAAAGGAAGCAAGTTCGTTAGGAATCGAGTTTACCAGAGGTTAGCGGGTAGGTCAGAGCGAAGTAGAAAAATCAATATTTCCTCTGCCGTCCCGCGAAACTTCCAGCTTTCTAATTAATGCACACGCGTAATGCAAGTTTTTAATCACCAGTGATTGCGTGCGGCCGAAGCCTAATTACGCGTTCTGCGTCCCAGTTCATTTTTATACCCTCGTACCATAATGCTCACGCGCGTAAATCTTATTTACACTCCCATAAAGTGTACAAAGTAAACGGTTGTTCATACATTTCGACACTGCTAAATCGATGTCGATTAATCAGCGATCGGTACACAGCCGTACGTAATTACCATCCGAAAGTTCGCAACTGCACTTCGACTTCAAGATCCAGCGTTTAAACTTCAACAGGAAGTCCTCCGCTTACCTTGGAATAAAAATTTCCCGACCGAAGTATCCAGGAGAAAGAACTGTTTAACTTTCTCGTTCAGGAGGAACTGGGTTTCAACTGGATTTCTGTGGCCAGCGAGAACTGTACGTGCATCCTGTAGGATAACAGAATATGTGGGTGTGACTTTATCAAAGGATGTGGGATGACACTTCGTTACTATTCTGGACTTTAACAGCCATTACCGGTTGATCGATTGTTAGGACTAATTGTGATGTACTGAACTTTCACCCATGTCTGCACTTTCACCCACTCTGATTTTTCAGATAAGGTCTCGTAAACATTACACATTCGGATACGTTCACGTATCTCAACCCCTTACACTTTCATTTTCACTCACATTTTTAACCCCTTGCACTATGACTTATTTGTCAGGTGGATCAGTAAGAACCGATATTATGTCAATATGCTTTATGCAATCGTCGACTATGCAAATTATAATTGGACTTGAACTCCAACTTGAAACGTATTAAAAATTCGAGTAAAATTGATCACAGCCCACGAGTGCGTCACGAGTCAGACTCGTCAAAATAGTGCAAAGGGTGAATTAAAGTCCAAATATAAATATGGAAGAGACAGTCGTTTATAAGTCACCTAACATGTCGAAGCACAACGAAAATTATGTTGTATATGTAGGTACACAAACGCGTACACGTGACTTAATGCGCATGTTATTACATTCCTCGTTTCGTCTATTAATGGCCTCAGAAGCGTACAGGAAGACACAAAGAGGTCGTTCCTTGTACTCCGGTGAGAATGTGTCGTATGGGAATAGAAATATGGCAGGGTTTAATAAAGAACACCGGTTTCCGGTGTGCACGCAGGCACAGCTGCATTGCAAGACATACCGGTGGCGTATTTAATTAAGCGTCGCTGTGATACTTAATCTGCGAACTACATACGCCAGCTTGAAATGCACGGACGAAATTGGGTATTTTCGTTGGGTCTTATTGGTTGTTGAGTGGAGCTTCTTTAGTACCGTGTCTTGGGAAATAGTTCGCGCTTCGATTAGTTGGGGAACTTTGTCAAGAGATTGTTAATATTCGGTGTCTTTTACCGAACTTGTTAATTTAGTTAGGGAAATGTTCGGAGATTGAAAAGTATAATTTTCTGAA